CGAACGGAAAGCACAAATAATTAGACTGCTGGTGTAATTTATGACGTACCCTTTAATCATCGTCATCGTCATCCTCTGGGACAAAGATATCATGTTCTTCAAGTAAGGCTGCGAAGTTCTTACTGATCTGAGTACCAACATACAAGAAAGGGATCACCACGCTGAACACTCTGAGGAGGCCGAAGGGCGTCTGCAAGGAGTCGATTGTAAAAATTGGATCTTTACATCCAAGCAAGTCGCACGTTGGCTGCACCGGCGCACTCCCGGCTCCACAGGCGCGCGGGGGCCCGGGATGCGGCCCGCAGAATGATCTCCGTCCCCAGTGGCACGCCCCGGTCACCGCACCGCGCTTCGTTATCGCGTTACAGTGTTACAAACACTCCCGCGCCAGCCAGTGGGCAGCCCGGGGCACGAACACCCGTGGCTTAGGGAGGGGATGGCGGTCGCCGGTGACAGAGGGCGGTGCATAGGCGAGCACTGATCTCCCCTTACGGCGCAGCGCGGCCTCGCTCGGGGGACGCGGGCCCGGCGAGCCCCGCACGCTCGGGGGCCGCTCCCGCCTCCCTCCCGCTGCCGAGCGCTTCCGCATCCCCGCCCGCAGCTCCCCGCTCATTGGTCCCGGGCACTGTCATTCACACCTGCCGCCCCGCCCACACCAGCTGCGTCCACACGGATTGGCCGCCGCTGCCGCTCGCGGCTGCCGGCCCCGCCCGATCGCCCCCCACTCACCTTAACCGGCTTGGGCAAAATGGCGCCGCTGCGGGTGACGGTGGCGCCCCGGGAGGGCACCAGCGGCACGGCCGGGGCCCGGCCCGGCGCGCCCCAGCCCGCACGCCCCGAGCGAGCCAGGGTCGCCGCCAGGAGCCGCCCGGCTGCCGCTGCCATCGTCCCGGTGCCCCGACCGCGGCACAGCCCAGGCGTCACCTGGGATCTCGCGAGGCTTGTGGGCAGGCGGTGAGGTCGGCACTGCGCACGCGCGGGGCGAGACCGCGCCCCCCGGGCCTGGGGGCGTTTCTCGGTGCCCCGCGGGGACCGAGGGACACAGGGACCGAGGGACAGAAGGACCGAATGACCGAGGGACACAGGGACACAGGGACCGAGGGCCAGAAGGACCGAATGACCGAGGGACCCCGGGCCGGTCCCGCCTCCTCCCGGTGAGGGGAGACCCGGGCCGGCCGGGAATGGCCAGGCTCTGCAGGCACGCCAGGGGGCTTCACGGCTCCTTTAACAACGCACGGGCTACAAATCAAACCGGTTTATTCGGCTTCGCGGCATAAAATACAAACTCTAAACAATGTAATGGGATGCGTAATACAAGTTCCGCGTGTAAAACAAACTCTAGTATAATACAAGTACCGCGTGTAAAACAAAGGCGCATGCAAAACCATCTCCTAAAAAAAGGAACATGCCCTACCTAAACCAGAAGCACTTGGAAAGGCAGGAGTCGCTCGTAGTGTTTTCCAGGCTGTTGTGCGGAGAGAACACCAGTTTGTGCTGCTGGTGAAAGATGCCCCCGTGCATTTCAGTGGGGCTTTTCAGCTTCTCTGCAAAGGCAGCGGAGAGAGGTAACACTGAGGGGTAGCTCCCCCAGGCACTATTAGTGCAGTAGCTACTGCAACACAAAATACCTGATCTTGGTCATGACTGTCCACCACATGGCTAAGAGTGGTCAAGGGTAAAACCTTCAGGTAACTCTTCAATTGGACTCAGTGGAAAGCAGCACAGTTTTAAAAAAAAAAAAAAAAAAAAATGTGCAGAAATTATATATCACAAGCTCAAATCTAAAATGTCAGACTCAGAAAAATATAAGTATTTAATCAACTATTTTAGCAGGATTGGGAACCCTTTCTGGCACAGCTCACAAAGGCTATGTCAAAACTGCCCTTTTCCAATTTATTTTCAATTTTAGCACCTTCCTCTCATCACTTCTGCACTAAAGAAAACTCTTAGGAAAAGGATCTTACTTCAGTACTTTTAAGAAAAGTACCCATTCAACTTCAGTGTTCAGTTCCCCCTTTGCCTAGGAACCTGTTTAGATAGGCATTCTCTATTTTTAAAAATAAAAAGGGAAAGTGGAGGCAGGAGGTGAAACAGTCCAAACCTGAACGACCTAAGAAAAAAAACCCTGGGTGGCAATCAGTCTTATTTTGCTGCTTATTTTACGTGCAGTGAAAACTCTCTGCCTTTCCTGTAACAATCTCTGCCTGCAGAAAGACAGACAGGCTGCTCCATTAGCAGGCTGAATGTTCAACCTCAGCAAGCTGAGGTCAGGAAGCTGAAATCCTGGCCTCCTGCCTGGAGGCTGCTTCAAAGGCACTGCCAGCACAACCAATTCAGCTGCATTGGCTTGATAGCCTCCATCTGTGAGGAGGCAGTGCAGGACTCAGGTGCTTCCTACCTAATGAAGCAAGTGGCAGTGGTCATTAAAATACCTGTACTCCCATACAAATTTGGGCAAGGCTCCAACACGGCTGCTACAACAGTGGGATGGTGAGGAAACCCTGATCAAGGACATCCAAAGTCACACAGTGCTTTGGAGACCTAGCAAAGGCCCAGGCATGGATGGCTGGGCTGAGCATAAATGTGGATCAGGATTCAGGCATTTTCTTGTCAGCACTGCAGAATAAAACACAAAATTACTCCAAACGCGATCAGATGGAAAGCAGAGCGCAGTGCCTGATTTGGATTGGGGATTTAGTTGGGATACGGGCTAAGCAAAGGTAGGTAGCGTGGAAATTGTGCCGTTTGAATGGGACAGATTAAAGCATTAAATATAAGCTCTTTAGCAGTGTTACAAGCACAATCCTGGTTTATTAAAACACGCTAAGCTTCTTAAAAGTGAAACTGCCCTTAAATGAATAACACTGTGTCAGTTTCAGTTCTGACAGAACTGGCTTTGTTAATTTATCTTCCCTTTCAAGTCACTCCCAGTTCTTGGGTCTCATGCAGGAACTGCCACTATATTTTGATTTGTTTTGGAAGTTGAGTCTTTACTTTCATACTGCCTTATGGTAATCTGAGACATCAAGAATATTCTCTCTGTATTACATTGAAAAAAAAAAAAAAAAAAAGCACAGGAAAATGCTTGACAAATTTGACCTTGGTCCCAAAATACCCATGCTCAGAGCAAGGAGTCACCAGGTAGTGCAGTCCCCTAGTGCTGCTGTCCTGGCATGGGAAAAGGGACACATTTGCAGCCAGGAATGCTGCAGTACTGAACTCTTCAAGCAGCAGGGTAGGGAGGCAGAAATGGCCCCTATGTCCAACCAGCTAAGCTGCTAATGAAGCCAGGGCCTTGCCCCATGGCCACCTGCTCCCAATTTTTCTGAACCATTTTAACAAAAGCCAAACAAAAATAATCCTCCCAAACTTACTGTGAAGTAATACAACCACAAACTGGAGAGGGCTGGATTGTGTTACTCACAAGTGAAGGTTACATTCTCACTGCCCAAAATAATTTGTAAGATCTAATTTAAGATCTGATTTCCTCTAATGTACCATCGAGCCATAATTAGGCAGGAGGCAGGAAGCTCATTATCCAAAACTACCAGAGACCTATTTTAAAAGGCACCAAGAGTTAATAGAATTAATTTGATTTCTGCATTGGCTATCTCTACACGCTATTGCAAAGTAGGAAGCTTAAAGTCCTTAAAGTAGGAGTGTGTTAAAGACCAGAAAGGTTCCAGTCAGTCATGATCTGAAATGAGCTTTTGCTTTCCTAGTAAACCTCTTAAAAAAAAAGGACAATAAAAACAGGTTTAATGTTTTTAGATGGGAAGCATGCAACTAGATAAGGGAGATTTTTACACCCTATCCCAAGGGTATTCTAGTCACTGGACTTGGCACCCACCTACTTGTATGGTACTTGTACCATGTGCCTTGTGGCCAAGGTTTCTGACCTACTGATGGACAAGTCTGTTTTCACAGTGAGGTGACAGACATGCCCTCCCTGCAGCCCTCCCAGCCCGCTGGGAGGACGGGATGTGCAGCAGAGATCAGACAAGCAATGCTGACATGAAATCAGAGGGAAGCGCCGGCAGGCCAGGTGCAGGATTGGTAGAAGGCAGCAACATGGCTTTGACACTGGAGAGGCAACCTCAGACACCGCAAACACCCATAACTCACTCCCACACCTCCACTTCTCCTCCTGAGACTAGGCCTCTCTCCCTCCCCACCCTTCAAAGCCTCTGCTCCAACTGCACAGCACTGCCAGGAGTTGGGCAGAGCCACAACACTGAGAGAGGCCCTGCAGGAGTGTGGCTAGGAACGCCCTTTTGGGCTAGCAGCCTGATGAGCTGACTGAGCCCTACATGGCACCTTGCACGGGCTGTGGTCTAAGCAAAGTCTGAGAAATTTACTCCTGCCCAGGCAAAGAGGCTGTAGCATCCCTGTATAGGAACAGGGAAACCTTGTGCCAGAGATATTAGCAAGCTTGGTTACTGCTTGACAGAGTCCAGATTAGCCCTGGGGAGCCCCTGGTGTCCTTGCTGGGGCTTCTGGCCAAGCTCTGTGTCTCCATTTCAGACTTGCTGTTGAGTATGAGCACACAAAGAGATAGTTGCAAGACCATGATATCCACATCCTGAAGGATTTAGCTGAAAGAAGGGTTAGTGCAGATCAAAGTAAAAAAACAATGCAAAAGCCCCAGCTGCTGGGCCAGCAACAGCTGCAATGGCTCGCATGTCCTGTAGTGAGAAAGGCACAAGGCTGCAGGCACACACCACGGCCAATGGCCTGTCAGAGGCATTTCATAAGAGCCCAGCCTTATCTACTGCAAAAGAACAAAGGCAGAAGGACTTTGGCACAAGACCACAGACAGTAATAAACACTGACCAAAAGCAAACTTCCACACTAGAAACAAAACAAAACAAAAAAGTGGTGAAGGAGAGGTAGGGGATGAAACACCCAGAGCATCCACCATGTCAGGACAGCAAGTGGCCAGGCCTGTTGGCTGAGGCTCATTGCATATGTGCTGATTTGGGCAGCTCCTATTTTCAGCAGAGAGAGTTTAAGTAAAGGTGGCTCTCCTGGTGTTACATGCTCTCCGGCTGTATAAAGCCTCATAGAAGTTAAATGTGAGGTTCAGAGGGTTACATGCTCTCCGGCTGTATAAAGCCTCATAGAAGTTAAATGTGAGGTTCAGAGGGGATTTGAGTCCCTCCCAAGTGAAGCATACACACATCACACACTAAGTCACTCATGAGGGCAGGGGGCAAGCAGCATCCCTCACTTCACTCTTCCTGCATACAGAATGGGCTGCCAGGTATCAGCAGGCCAGTGACTTGTGTCCTGTGCCCCCAGTCACGGGTGTCCCCTCTTCTGCCTCTCCTGCCACTCCCGTCTCAGCACTGCAATCTCCTGCCCGTACCAGTTGTGCAGCTTGGAGAAGCAGATGGTTTCCGGTGGCACTGGGCTCTCCAGCATGGCTGGTGAGAGGCCAAGTGCTGGGGATCCTGTGGCACTGCTGGCGGCCGAGCGCCTGCGTGGAGGCAGGGGTGGGGGCTTTGTTTGCCCCCCATCATGGTCAGTGCAGGTGGCTCCACCGGCAACACATCCTCCACTACTCCATGTGGAGTAGCCATTCTCCAGGATGGTGGGCTTCTCCTGGAGAGGCTGCAAAGCAGGGTTGGAGAGATGCCTCTTCCTGCCAGAGGAGGAGGACCTCTGTGGAGACTTACGGCAAGCAGCCAAGCTCTTGCAGGCCTCCTCCAGCTGCTTCTCCAGCTCCCTTACCACCAGCCGCATGTAGTCGAAACTGGCCCGTGAGAGTGCCTTCACCCAGGCCTCCATGGCAGCCTGCCCATCAGCCACCAGCACATAAGCCCTGGCACCAGCGTCATCAAAGCGGATGGCAAAGGCAAACTCCTCAGCAGCCTCGCACAGCTCCACAGTGCAGCCCTCCAGGACCACCAGTCCAACGGGCTCCCGGCTCTCCCGCTCCTCAAAGTAGAAGAGGAGGTTGCCCTTGAGGACGAACCAGCGGCGCTGGTAGGAGGTGCCATGGTGGTGGGCATGGTGGTGGTGCCGCTCCACCCGCTTGCGCAGAAAGCCAGTGTGGTCAGCAGGTGAGTCACAGGTGGCGTAGTGGGCCACGCTCCGCTCATTCAGCTTCATTGCCCCACCTAGGAGCAGAGGAAGAGAGGGGGAAGAGGTTGTCTTGGTGTGAGGAGCATGTCACTGGCCCCACCAGAGGAGGCCAGATCCTGCTCCCAGGGAAAAGCAGTCACTCCTGCAGCCCTGCTCCAGCAGCCACTGACACAAGGCGGTGTCTAACCCAGCAGGTACCCCTACAAAGGGCAGGCTGGTTCCTCACTGCTGCAAAGAGGAGGTCACTACCAGAGCCTCACCACCCAGACACCTGCCTTCCCTGCGAATGCCAACACCACTGTTTCATTTCTTATTCCACAAGTGACCTACCTTGCTGCTTTTTAATGGGGCACATCAAAGAAATTTGCCTCTCTGCCTGCAAGGCACTAATTTTGCTCTCTATTGGAAGGCAGGATAAGGAGAGTGTTTCAGACCCAAGGGCTCTGGAACTTACATTTCTGTCCCCTTTCCCTACTCCCTGTCTCCATGCAGGACCACCCACTCCCACCAGCCCTCCTGGCAGCAGAACTCCCAGCTCCAGCAGGTTCACCAGCAGTGGGGTGCAAGGTGACATACCAGCTGTGCAGGTCAGACTGCAAACCCTCGTTGTCTTCCTTGGCCAGGCTGCTCCCTAGCTGAGGGTGTCTGAGACTTCAGCGTGATGAGCACCATCCTTTGTTGGAGTAAAAGGATGAAGAAGAAGGACTTATGAACCAGAACAGTTTGGGACTGACAGAGCTAAGAGCTGTGTCACTCCCACCTCAGAAATCCAGGATCCTCACTCAGTGCAAGCAAGCTGCACTGGAAACTGGGATAGCAAAACTGGGGGAACATGCACTTGCTTCAAAGCCTGAGCCCTATCCCAGCTCAGGCCAGTGCTCCTGTGGGTTTGTTTTCTAGCTCCTGGGCTTGTTTTGTGTTTATTAAAGGAAAAAAAATAAATGTTCTGCAGAAGCTATCACTGCCCCATTTGTGGAGGCCCTTTGGCAGGCGACTCGGAAAGTCAAGGACGACAGAGCCTTGAAGAACAGAGCCAGCACAACCTTTGTGGAATGTTCAATTGCCAAAGGATTTCCAGCCGCTAAAACTCCACACATAGAAAACAAGCACATGCAGAAAACAAACCACAGCCACCACTCCCAGGACAGACTTGGGTACTAGGAGCACTGCTGAGCAACTTCCAGAATCCCTCCCGGAGTCCTTCTCTACCATCAGGGCTTGTGCGGCACAGCTGAGGACCTGGGGGCACGGACCCCAGTTGAAAAGTGCCCAAGACCCCGATCAGACACAAGGAAAGACTGTTCCCTGGAGGTGCTCTGCCCTGGGCACACTCAGGCTGCGGACAGCCTGAGGCGAGGGGGCTGTGGGGGTCCCACGTGTGCCGTGCTGGGCTCTGTGTCTTTGTGCGCGGGCGCACGCCCGTGCCCTGGGGCTGCCGGTCTTTGTGTGCGCCTGTGCCCCTCCGTGTGCGAGTCCGTCGCCTGCCTGCGACCCTCGCGGTCCCGCGGCCGCCCCCGCCCCGCCGCCGCCCGGCCCCGGCGCCCCCCGGCCCTTTCCCAGCTCTTCCCCTGCGACGGCGGGACCCCGGCCCCTGCCCGGCCCGGCTCACCTCCGGCCGCTGCTGCTCGGCGGTGCGGGGCAGCGCGGCCCTGCCGCGGCCGGGCGGGGAAAGGCTCCTGCGGCCGCCGGGGCCGTCCCGCCGCGCCGGCAGCACCGCCCCGCCGGCGGCCGGGGGGAGCGGGGGGGCCGGGGACACCGCAGCCGGACCGGAGCCGCGTACTCCCGCACCCCTTCGCTCAGCCCGACACCTCTGCAGGGTCGCAACCGGGGGGGGACCTAAACCCCCCGCTCCCAGAATCACTGTTGGGGGGCAGCAGGCACAGCGGTGACAGGGTGCCAGCACGGGGTGCAGCTGCAATGGGAGCAGTACGGGCTGGGCGCAGTGCTGACGGGCACCGGCTACGGGGTGCAGCAGCAGTGGGGTGCAGCACGGACAGGGTGCAGCGGGGGAAGCGAGATTAATGGACTGGCACGGCCGTGGGCTGCAGTGCCGGCGGGGCGCGGTGTCTGCGGGCGGGCGGGAGGCGTGGGCAGTCAGTCAGCTGATGCAGACGGCATCATGTGAGCGGGGCCGGGCCGAGCGGGGCCGGGCCGAGCGGGGCCGGGCCGAGCGGGGCCGGGCCGGGGGAGCCGCTCTGTGCCGCGGCGGCAGCGATGGAGGCGGCAGTGCTGAGCGGGCTCGTCCTGGCCCTGGCCCTGGCGCTGCCCTCCGTGGCTCTGGAGAACGGGCTGGCGCGCACTCCCCCCATGGGCTGGATGTCCTGGGAGAGGTTCCGCTGCAACGTGGACTGCCAGGCGGATCCCCGCAACTGCATCAGGTCAGTGGATGGGGCGCGGTCAGGTCGAACTGGAGGACCGGGATGGCTCTGGCACCGTCTGCGTCCCTAGGACCCCGGGGTGGATGCTGCATGGGAGGCTCAGACGCCCCGGTGCTGGGCCGAAGAGCCCCCAGAGCTGAAAGATATGGGCGGGTTTTTCAGGCAGTCGGGGAAACGCTTCCCTTTCGGTGAGGTCAATAAAGACGGATAGGATTTAAATGGGAGCGCTATGGGAGTCTATCCTATGGCCCGGACCAGCCCTCCAGAGCCCCCAGTTAACCCCCAAATCCCTCTGCCTACCTCACCTGCTGAGGCACAAGGGTCGCAGGGTCTCAGCCTGCCATGCCTCCTCAATCCACAGCGAGCAGCTCTTCTTCGAGATGGCAGACCGGCTCGCAGAGGATGGCTGGAGGGAGCTGGGCTACGAGTACATCAACCTTGATGACTGCTGGGCTGCCAAGCAGCGGGATGCGGCCGGGCAGCTGGTTCCAGACCCCAAGAGATTCCCCAGGGGAATTAAGGCTCTGGCTGACTATGTGAGTGCCTGCTGCGAGCCACTGGGGATCTCTGTCCCCATGCCAGAATGGTGGGAGAGCTGGGAAGGAAAAGAGGATGCTGGTACCTGGGAGACACCCTAGATCTCTTCATTTGCTCCTTGCAGCTCTGTTCTCCTCACAGGTCCATGCCAGGGGCCTGAAGCTGGGCATTTACGGTGACCTGGGCATCTTCACCTGTGGGGGCTACCCAGGCACCATGTTGGAAAATGTGAAGCAGGATGCCCAGACCTTTGCAGCATGGGGTGTGGACATGCTGAAGCTGGATGGGTGCTACTCGTCCGCAGAGGAGCAGGCAAAGGGTAAAAATTCACCAGCCTCTGGCATTCTTCTCCCTGCTGCTTGGGTTGGGGCATCTGGCCCTCTGCAGCAGCACTGGGCCAGCCAGTTCTTCCCTTGTGCCTCCTATTGCAGCTGTTGGGAAAAGAGGCAGGAGTTTGTGTGCCCTGGAGCTGGTGTAAGGAAGGAACCCAGGCTAGACTGGTATTCCCCTTGCTGAGTGGGCTGGGATAAAGGCTGCTACTGGGACATGGGCTGCTGCCAGCCACCCCTTCACTGGTTGTCATCTTCTCTCCCTAAGGATACCCAGAAATGGCAAGGGCCTTGAACGCCACAGGCCGTCCCATTGTCTACTCCTGCAGCTGGCCAGCATATCAGGGGGGTCTTCCCCCCAAGGTATGGGTTCTCCTATCTTTTGGCAAGTTCCCATGTCCCCTGTGCCCTGGAGGAGCTCTTGCTGGAGCACCAGGAGCATGGTGTTACACCCCACTTAATTTTTCACCCCTGGATGTTGCTGGAGGTCCCAGAGGTAATGTGGCCTTCCTGCCAGGCACCCGGGGATGCCTGGGGGTTCCAATACAGCTAGGTGATGGCAGTTTGTGGGAAGAAAGCTCTGGAGTGTATCCTCTCCCCCCTAATCAGATGGTGTGGGGTTGGTCCTGACAGTCTTCTTGTGAGACAGTCCTGTCTAGTTTCAGTGCTTGAAATAGGATAATCTTCCTAGTATATGTTTCTTGAGAATTGGTTGCTCTCACATATTTCCTCTTTCACTTTTTGAGTCAGTCCTGACCTGCTCTCATTTTTGTAGCTGATAGGTTATCAGATTTCCCCATGACCTTTGTGGTTGTTTTGCCAGACATCCTATAATACTGGGGTGTGCCCAGACATAGTGGGATATGACTCTGTCTTGCCTCCTTACCCTTCCCCAGATTCCTCTGTTTTTTACATACTTGCTGGACAGTGCAGCTCCCAACAATTCAACAGTGCTGCTCCCGCCTGCCCCACCTTGCAGAACAGCTCTTTTTCCTCTCCTGCCTGACACTGTTCTCCTTGTCAGGTGAACTACACCATCCTGGCAGAGATCTGCAACCTGTGGCGTAACTATGATGACATCGAGGACTCCTGGGACAGTGTACTTTCCATCGTGGACTGGTTCTTCACAAACCAGGATGTGCTGCAGCCAGCAGCTGGCCCCGGTCACTGGAATGACCCAGACATGGTGCGGCTGGGTGATGGGTGCTTTGACCCTGTCTGGGGATGAGGATCTCCAGGGGATCTCCAGGGATCCTCTTCTAGGGGCAGGGCAAAGGAAGAGCTCCAGGAGCAGGAGCCCTGTTGCTGCAGAGGCAAAGCTGGTGTTATCCTTGGCTAAGCTGTGGGAAAAACCACAGTGGTTGCCATGAACCCTTCACCACTTGAATTTACCTCTCAAGTTCTTCAGGTGTTCTTGTCCTTCCCTGCACAGCCTGAGGGCAAATAACGGTGAAACAAAGGGTGTTAATGAGTGCATTTGAGTGTATGTTGCTAGCAGGGATGAGATCTTCTGGTGGCAGTGGTGGACTACTTAAGGGGAAGCTAGAGTGTGTGTGAGGTTTCCTTTGTGCGTTCCCTCCCAGCAGGAAGCAGCATCACCATGGGTGACAAGCAGACAAGTTTCTAACCTTTTTCTGCTTCTTCCATCTTTTCGCTGTCTCCCCTCCAGCTCATCATTGGAAACTTCGGCCTTAGCTATGAACAGTCACGCTCCCAAATGGCTTTGTGGACAGTGATGGCAGCTCCACTCCTCATGTCCACAGATCTCCGCACCATCTCCCCCGGGGCCAAGGAGATCCTGCAGAACCGCCTGATGATCCAGATCAACCAGGATCCCCTGGGAATCCAGGGGCGCAGGATTGTCAAGGTTAGGGGGAAAGCAGATGCATTTGGGAGAGCAGACAGAAGTAGCACAGAGCATCAAAATAAGGAGGAAGAGGGAAATGATGCAGAGAAACAGGAGCAAGAGACCTGTGGGTGTTGCGGGCCTGCTGGTGTTGCAGCCCCACAGGGCAAAGTCAGAAGTTGCACTGCTCCTAGCAACTCTGCCTCACCCACCTATCCCCACCCCTAGGAGAAGTATGACATCGAGGTGTTTGTGCGTCCACTGGCCCAGGCTGCCAGCGCCCTCGTGTTCTTCAGCCGGAGGACAGATATGCCCTTCCGCTACACCACCAGCCTGGCCAAGCTCCACTTCCCCGAGGATGCTGTGTATGAGGTGAGCCCCACTGACACAGTGCATAGCAGGGCAGTCCCATGGCACATGGATCCCCCTCTTCCCACATCTCTATGCGTTCTAGTACTCTATGGAGTACTCTCACTCCATACCTCTGGAATGAAGTGGCAGCTGCCCACTGGGTCACTCTTCTGTTGCCCACTGCTGTGCCCTTTCCCACTATTTCATGTCCATGACCACGGCTGGACCCCAAGTGAAAGATCTGGAATTGCTGGTAGCTCCATCTCTCTCTTTCAGGTACAAGACGTGTATGTGGGGAAGATCATTGGAGACTTAAAAGCAGCAGACAACTTCTCAGTCGTTATTAACCCCTCGGGGGTGGTGATGTGGTATCTCCGTCGCACGGCCCTCCCGGTACAACCCTGGCATGTTGTCAGACAGCAAGCCCCTGGTGGGGGTTACCGCCCAGCCCTTCTGTGACAGGGCCCAATGGATGCGGTGTGGACCAGTGCCAGGGTGAGCTGTGAGACCCCAAGGCATGTGGTTCTTCACTGTACAAGTGCCTTTTGCTGCTGAGCCCATAATTCTGGGCAGTGACCATCCCCTGGTACCAGCTTGAAGATATCTGCTCTATCCGCATAAACCAGAAATTCTTGTTACTCACTGCCTAAGGGTGTGCAGAGCCTAGTGCCTTGATGATTGCAAAACCTTCTGAGATCCTCCTACGGAAGATGCCATACAAGTAGAGTCCACCACTACTGAAGTTTGTCAGCTCTGACACCTGAGAACATCATTGCTTTGAGCTGGGTACTACTGGCTGCTGGAGGGGCTGTTTGAACTACACCTGCAGAAAGGCTTTGGGTGCTTTAGTATCTCCTAGGGTTGTGACATCCCATTTTCCCTCTTTCCCTAGCCTCACCCCCCCAGGTGTGTGATGGCATTAACCTCACGGATCAGACTTGGTCACCTTCTTTCTTTTACTATAATCAGCTTGGTATAGAATAAGGAACTGTCAGCTGGGCTGCATCCCATGTATTCCCACCAGGACCAAGAGCTGTTGGAGGCATAATGGTCCTGTGCAGTGAGCCTTTGCTTGCAGCACTACTGCACCTTAGTGTACGTGCTAGCATTGTATCAAAGCCCCTCTGGTAGAAGTTTACAGCAGAGCAAACATCTCTGTGAGCCATGCATTCCCTAGGAGCTGTGCTGTGGTACACACCAAAAGCCGCAGAGCCGCA